ATCAATTAATGGGTATTACAATAGCCATTAATTTCTTAGCTCCAGTAGTGACACGGATTATGGCTTGAAAACGAGGGGATTCAGATTCCTTAGGATTTTCAAAACCAAATGAAGCCTGGATAAGCAAACTATCCATATTACTAATTATAATTACAATAGCAAAAAGAGAAACCATAGGGAGCAATTACCTCAGGTGTGCAAACATCTGAACTTCTTAAGCTTCCAGTTTGACCCCAGGATGACTCATGTTGCCCTGAAAATATAATTAAATATGTCAAAGCAATTTTTAAGTAAGCAACATAAAAACCTTTCCAATATGTCAAAGTGCTAACAACATTAAACAATCTAAGAGTTGGCCTCCTAAAGGAGGATAAGGTCCAAGTTTCAAATCCCAACTCCCCTTTGAACTCCCAAACATACCAAAAGATGGAAGTGCTAACAAGGTGCAGTGGTTGAAACAATCCTTGCACTAAACAGCTTCTATATTAAGCATGGTTTAAAATCAACCAATAGTTCAAAGCTTACATGCCATCTAATCATGCTATGAGGAGGCAGAGGTAGCAAATACTCCAAAAGCATATGTTAACATGTGGAGCACGATCAACATTTTAAGCAACAAAATTGGATTAAACTAACAGAAATAAAGGATGACCTATAATATCCTGCAAGATTTAGTCTTCTATAAACAGATCAGTTCCCCCACTATGGTATCATCAAGGAGAAAAATGTCCAAAACAAAACACAAACAACACCAAATCTGCCAACCACCAAGTTTCATTTGACAACTGCCCACCAAACACCAGAAGGCACAACATTTTGAGAAAACTCTGGTTTTAGAAAATCCTTGTAAACATTGATTAGCTCTGGTCCCACTTATCATCCCATAATCCTATAGTTTCATGAGCTTTAAGATACAGATATTAACATCTCAAACAATACATACTTTTAGACATATTGCATACAAACCACAAAAACCAATATCAAAGAAGGGAATATAAAAGGAGACCTGCAGAACCTCACCTCCTATATCCAATATCCTCAATGCATATTCCACATCTATTCAAAATGATGAAGGCTAGTTACTGGGATAAAATTAAACAATTTCAACACCAAAAACCTTAAGAAAATTAAATAATGAGTGTTAATAATACACCACAAACTCTAGTCAGTAAATTAGGCATCCCTCCACTTAAATCCAATCTACGCTACTTGATAGCATCACTGTATTAAAATTTTATATAAACAAAGACAACCTTTAGCCAGAAACATTTTTCAAAAATAAAATCTTGAAACTTAACATGAATTTGTATCCTTCTAAAAGAGTAAAAACAAGACTATTGTGCATCTTTAAATACAATGTAAGAGCAAAACTTTCTCTATATTGTGCCACAGGTCCTATGTTTGAAAATTAAAGTTCACCTAGTTAGCACAAAAGTAGAAGTCCTAAAAATATGATTTAGCATAAAATGAAACTTGTATCGCAAAAGACACCAATGCCACCAAGCACATCATCACAGGCACAATACTAAGCACTTAACCAAATAACAAATGGAATTGCTGACAACCAAAAGACTGAAACAGCAACAAGAAATGCAAAGCCAATACCTGCTTGCGATGAGGACTCCCCATTCTGCAGATGGGACCTCCCCTGCGCATTGGGAATCTGCTCCCTGGATTGCCACCCTCCACCACTACTCGGTGACATACCACCGGAATTGCTTGCATTGTCGCCCGCACACTCCTGCAATAACCTATGATTAGCCCCGTCTTTTTTTCCAGAACCGGAGCCCGACTTCCCTGAACTCCCCACGCCACTATTAGAACCTCCAGGCCTGGACAAATTACTAACCCCGAGCACGGAAGCTGCTGACCCCTTCTCCCCCCTTAAACTAAAGGAGCTTTCCTGGGGCAACGGCCCAGACCTCGTCTTTATCCGAGTGAGCCCAAGGGACGACGCCAGTATCGGCGAGACAGATGCCGCCGGATTGGACCCCTCCTTGGCATCCGGCTTCTTGGAAGTCGAAGCAGCCTGCTTAACCGGGGTTTTCAGCGGCGATTGCGGTTGGGGTTTGGGCTCCTTAGACTTGAAGTCATTCTTTCTGACTCCATCTTTGACTGGGGTTTGCTTGCAAGCAACGGGACTGAACGCGGTGGGGGAATTGATCTGGGAATCAGCTTTGGAAGTCGATGATTTGGACTTCTTCTTGTCAGATCGGATCGGAGAGTTGGAGGAGGATCCAGGGCTGTTGGATCCGTCGGGACTGGAGGAATCCGACTTCTTGGCGGAGAAGAAGAGCTTGTTCTTGAACACCATTTCCGCCTTTCCCTTGAAGCATAGATAGATTCTGGGTTGCTACCAAAACACAAACTTTTCAAAGATTTTCCGCCATTTCTGAGTCCAGGTATTGGACCGAAAGAGAAAGCAAGAGAAAGAGATGG